AAATAATTCAAAAAGAATATAAAGATACAGAAATATTTTTCAATTCCTGTAAACTATCTTGAAAAGCCATAATGAAACACTTTAACAAACGGAAAATAGATCGATAAAATACAAATAATAAATCGTCAAATTAGTAAACCACATAACAACATTGATAAAATCCATTATTATTGTCTGTATTAAGTCAAGGTGTAAGCCTTGATAAACGGAACTCAAGGTGTAAGCTTCAAAGTGCTTAAAGACAGCTTCAAGAGAGGACTGGAAGGCGTAGCCTCGGGAGCTTTTCAAATGCCATAAGAAATGTTAACAGGATGGTGCAAAAAAATGGGCTGCAGCTAATTCACATTGTTATAATCATTGAAGCTGCAATAGCAATTTTCATCACATGGAAAAAATCAAAATCACTTCTAGCATAATTCACCACATAAAGAAGTAGAAGAAAATAGTTGTAATTATTATTACCAACTCACAGGGCATAAGACACATAAAAGGCATTGAAAAAGAAAAAAGAAAAAAGAAGATTAATATGTTACCAGGAGCATCTTCAGCAGTGCATTGGTTCCAATGTGTGCAAGAGCACTTTTGATTTGTTCATTTCCATGGAGTTCATCAACATAATGAGAAACGCTTTCACCATGCTCGAAAGTTTCTACCAACACGGCGGGATGTACTAGTGGGTATACAGGTTTTGGGAAAGAAACGTTCTTCGATCTGCGAAAATTATATATGAAGCGGCTCAAATGGGCAGCTTCTCGTGCAAGATCAACTTGAGACATCATAAAAACCGAAAACTGCTGGACACTTTCATCCAATCTTAACCATTTCAGTGTAGGAATGCAATTTGAAATTTGTGCTACAATATTAATTATCTCAAAATCCCTTTTTATTGACTCGCCAACACCTGGATGTCTCACCTTCACCGCAACAAGCATAGGTTTGATCTGACAGCCATGGTATCGAGACCGCAAAGAAGCTCGATGCACTTGAGCGATGCTCCCAGATGCCACAGGTTCCTCCTCAAAGTCGTCAAAAATTTCTGAAATTTTATGACCGAAGGCTCTTTCAATAGTTTTTTTAGTGTAGTCAAAGCTATGTTCTGGTGCTTTTGTTTGAAGTTTCGCAAGTTCAATGCACAAGTCTCTAGGAAAGAGATCTGGCCGTGTGGCTGCCCACTGGCCCCACTTTATAAATGCTGGACCTGCTCTCTCTAGTGTCTGATGAACAGCCCGGAGCCACAATTTCCTAAACTCAGGTCCAAAAGATTCTGCAAATGGAGCCATTGCAATGGTGGGTGCGAATAGAACAGCCAAATATAATGCTCTCAGCAACAAAGAAATCCCTTCCAACATTGAAAGAATCAATGAGGTCAAGAAAACATGCCCATCCTGAGCACTCGCGTACAAATAATTCCTCGGCTGGAAGATATCTATGTCTGACACCGCTTGCGCCCAAGCAACATTGCTTCCACAGGTTAAGGCAAATATACCAGGAATGACACCATAAGAACGGCAAAGCGCCAAGCTAACAGCTTGTGCAATCCTACTTATGGGCAACAAAGATCTCCCACTTTGTAACGCCCAATGTAACAACCTCTTCCACGTAACTTGGGTATGATGTGCTAAAGTATTACTTGCAGGTGAGGAAGAAAAATGCTTGAAGTAGCTATTGCAGTTACCATTTCTGGTTCCATGAATAGCAAATCCAGGAAGTCTCCTGCTAGGACTAATATATTGCGAATACAATTTGTATTGACGAGAACATAACCCTGGTCCAACAAGTGCTTCATAGTTTGACCATTCAGCATTGTTGCTAATCTGATTTTTGCGCAAAAATTGTCCAACTCTCCTAATATTACCAATTGTCAGAAATCTGCATTAACATGAAGAGGTTGAGAATACCCGCCAATAAGAATTTTTCTTTTCAAATAAGTAACGACATACATGGTGTCGTACTCATTCCCTATTCACATGTTTTCACCGAGTTGACATACTCCAAAGACATTTAAAATTGATAATAGTAGTACACTTCAAACTTTAATATTTGCATTGAATCATTCAATTAGCAGTGTACAATCTTAACCAGCAAAATAGGGGAACTCTTGATTTTAGCCAGAATAAGAGTTTCCCACAATTTCAATACTCAATGCTTTTACTCGCATAACATGAAAAGAAATAACATTTCATTTCAAGAAGTTCATCAATTATATGAGCATAATCAAAATCTGCTAGGCTTAAAACCATAGCTCTTTCAAAAAGCCCAGAGTATATAAGCATACATAAGCACATGCATTGCATTGATATAGCAGATTAATTGAAGTAAATCCTAAACTACCTTTCAGAACAATGGTAGAAATACTCCACTCTGCAGTATATTGAAAAGATTCAAAGGCAGATTTCAAGCATTTTAAAAACAACGATATTGTATAATCGAAGACATGAAAAAAATATTGAAAACATAGACATAATATTGGAAGGAAAAAAAAAATCGAAAATGGAAGAATTAAATCTACAGAGAGAGAGAGAGAGAAAGAGAGACCTAGACATGGCGAAAACTGAGCGTGAAAGAAAAGTTCAGAGACTAATAAGCTCAGGAGGGTATGGTATCGACCACGAGCATTCTCTAAAGATTGCCGGAAAATAAGATTGAATCATATCGATCTCCCAATATAATATTCAGAATCCGCCACCTAAAACAATTACACCATCTTCAATCAGGTTCATTCTTCTTACAAATAGTCCGTTAATTGGTAAAGATACGAACTTTTCTTATGGGTTTATTCAAAAGAAGTTATGCAAAAGGATATAGAGATTTATTTTGCACCGGCGCCGAAGGATGGGAAAGGAAGAAAATTTGTCGCTTGATTTGGCGTTCAATTTGGAAGGTTCGGAGTGTCGGATTAGTGGACCGTATGGTTTAGGAATTTCAAATTTGCGTACTCTTTGGGGCTGCAGTTGAATCTTCAAGAGTATAACAGTGTGATTTCTATTCCTATAAATCTTTGATACAATTTCATGGAAAATAAAATATATCAAACACACAAAATTGAAAAAAAAAAGTGGAATTCATGGAATTCGAACCAATCAAACATGCCCTAATTTCAATGTGTAAGTATTTGATATTTCTGCACATTAATGACAGGAGAAAAGATATCCGGACATAAAGCATGTTTCATGTTTGGTTCGTCGAGAAAAACAAATTTTTTGATTAAAAATTAAGTTATAGTTAACAACAAATTTTAACTACACCCAAGACTTATAAATCAAACACTTTATCTGCTTTTATCAAAATTTAAATCTATTGGAACTAGTAAATTGTCTTGATGGTCCAAAGAATGGTTATCGAATTTACATAGTAAATTCACAAATTGAATAGTTTTTCATTTGAATCAAATGGATAGACGACTCCTTTCCTCTTACTCATACAAAAAAATAAAAATAAAAAAAATAATAATAATTTTATGAATATCCTTAAAAGTCATGACTTGTGAACAAAAAAATTGTCAAGTAACTCGCACCAAGAATACCCAAAAATTGTTCATTGAAGTCAAATAGGTACCTGACCCCCTTTCTCTCCACGCTAAAGAAAGCAAGATGCAATTTTTTGAATATCCTGAAAGACGATGTTCCATGGGAAAAATATTGTCACCCAACTCACACCATCAATACCCAAAGACTGTTGTATTGGAATCAAATAGCTAGGTGATTCCCTTCCTCATCTTTGTACCAAGGAAAGAAATGCAATTTCATGAATGTCATTAAAGCCATAACTCACTGGCAAAACACTGCCAAGCGACACATTAGAAATTTAGAATATTCAGAATTTGTTCATTGGAGTCCAATATGTAGACTAGTCTCTTCCCCTTCTTCATAAAAAAGAAAGAAAAACACAAAATGTTGTCACAAGACTCACAACATGAATAATTAAAAGTGTTAATTGGAGTCAAATAGATAAGCGGCTCCTTTCCTCTTCTTCATAATAAAGAAAGAAAAAATGCAATTCATGAATATCCTTAAAGCCATGACCCATGACAAAAACATTATCACATGACTAACTTTACAAATCCCACAAGTTGTTCATTGGCGTCAAATAGATACGTGACTCCCTTCATTTTCTTCATACTAAAGGGAAAAAAAATGTAATTTTGTAAATATCCTTAAAGCAACATCCCACAAGCAAAACATTTTCACATGACACACACCCCTCATACTCAAAGGTAGTTAATTGAAATCAAATAGGTAGGTGATTCCATTGCTCCTCTTCAAACTATAGAAAAAAAAAAAAAGAAAAAAACGCGTTATTTCGTGAAACCAAAAGTTGTTCATTGAAATCAAATAGGTAGATGATTCCTTCCTCTTCTTCATACTAATGAAAGAAAAATGCAATTTCATGAACATCTTTAAAGCGAGCCTTGACCTACTGGCAAAACATTGTCACATGACTTCGCACCATGGATAATTAAAATTTGTTAATTGGAGACAAATAGGTTTGCGGTCCCATCCTCTTCTTTATCCCTACTATATAAAAAGGAGAATGTGAGGGCACTGTAGAAAGCAACAATGCCTTGATCCATCTTTACTGTAGTATTTTTGTTTTGTTTTTTTTTTTTTCAATTGAGGGCCAAAAACGACGCCGTTTGCTTGATATATATTTTATTTTATTATACACTACCTCCAAATTTACTGCAACACACAATTTTCATTCATCCTCCACTCCGATATAGATATATATAGTAGGGATATAAGAAAAAAATTACTTTTATATAAAAAAAAAAAAGATAGAGATAATATGCGACAGAAATTTTTTTACAAAATATTACTTGTAAGTAAAAAATTTGAGAAGAAAAGACTTAAAGAGAATTTTAAATTGAAAAAAAAATTATAACGTAAAATTACAAAGCAAAAAAAAAAAAAATCTCTCCGTGCACGGAGAGATTTTTTTTGTATTCATTTTCAGGCTCATTACGGGATATCAAACGAAATCGAACTATTACATTCTTAATACCGTTTTAAAGTACTCACGGCATAGAATTGCACGTCGTTAACGGTGCATAAAACGATCAATCATAGCAAATGTTATGGGACGTCAAAATAGTCATTTTCAAACTATAATTCGAAATTTTCGATAACAAGCTAACTTTAAAAATTTATCGACGATTGTACGATAGTCAGATCGATAAATGTTTTACATTCTCTCGAAACTCATTTTGAGAATTATATCGTAGAGATATCGAATGATCTAAATAGATATCAAAAATAGTTAAACGAACATTAAACGTATGTGTTAAAAAATAGGCATAAGTCGTTTTTTCTTTAAAAACTCAATTATTTTATTACTATTTCGAAATTTTCGATAACAAGCTAACTTTAAAAATTCGTCGACGATTGTACGATAGTCGAATCGATAAATATTTTACATTCTCTCGAAACTCATTTTGAGAACTATATCGTAGAGATATCAAATGATCTAAATAAATATCGAAAATAGTTAAACGGAGATTAAATGTATGTGTTAAAAAAGCGTATACGTCGTTTTTCTTAAAAAAATCAATTATTTTATTACTATTTATTTTTTTTCGCAATAATTTTCTCAATGCATCATTTTGCTCAAAAAAAAATTATGTGGTATGACGGAGATTTTTTTCTCCATGCACGGAGTGAATATGTTTTTTTTCATCATTTTATATATTGAATTATTACTAGAAAATTAAATTTTATCTCAAACTATTAAAAAATACTGATTAATAATAAAAAATTTGAAGAAAGAAATTAAAAAGAATTCTAAATAAAAAAAAACTATTATTTATAACGTAAAACTACAAAAAAAAAAAATTCTCAAATCTAAATTTCTGTTTGGAATTATTAAGAGAAAAGAATTATAAATTGAAAAAAAAAATTATAATGTGAACAACAAAAAATAAAATTTTTTTTAATTCTTTTTTCTTCAAATTTTTTATTTAAAAGTAACTTTTTGTAAAATATTTTTTTATTTTTTTATACAAAAGTAATTTTTTTCTTATATCCCTACTATATATATATCTATATAACTGTGGTTGAGCATGGAGTGTTGGGGGTATGAAAATTATGTGTTGCAGTAGTTTCTTACAGTATAATAAAATATTTTAAAGTAAATTTTTTTATATATTTTATTACTATAAAATTAAATATTATCTGAAATTATTAAAAAATAAAAATACTAATAATATAAGATAGAAAATATTTCTAAGAGGTAAAAAGTTACTTGTGAGTAAAAAAATTAAAGAGAAAGAAATTAAAAAAGAATTTTAAGTTGAAAAGAAAATTTATTTATAGTGCAAATCAAAACTAAGTTTTTGTTTGAAATTATTAAGAGAAAAGAATTTTAAATTGAAAAAAAATTTATAATATAAACAACACAAATATTTAAAAAAAATAAAAAATAGTTAAACGGACATTAAACGTATGTGTTAAAAAAATACGCATAAATCGTTTTTCTTAAAAAAATCAATTATTTTATTACTATTTCGAAATTTTCGATAACAAGCTAATTTTAAAAATTCGTCGACGATTGTACGGATCATAAATGTTTTACATTCTCTCGAAACTTATTTTGAGAACTATATCGTAGAGACATCGAATGATCTAAATAAATATCGAAAATAGTTAAACGGACATTAAATATATGTGTTAAAAAATGTGTATAAATCGTTTTTCTTAAAAAAATCAATTTTTTTATTACTATTTATTATTTTTTCGCAACATTTTTCTCAATACATCATTTTGCTCAAAAAAATTATGCGGTATGACTTAATTTTTTTTCAATTATTTAAAATTTCATTTTTTTTTTCAAAGTGGAGAGCAAAAACGACGCGTTCCTCCATGCATAGAGTGCATGTATATATTTTTTACATTATTATAGATAAAAAAAAAAAACTATATCATCGTAGTTGGATATATCTAATAATTTCAGACAATATTTAATTTTATAATAATATTTTTAGTAATATTGAATTTTTTAAATTAAATTTATCTAAATATTACTTTAGATTAAATATTAACTCAAAGTTTTAAGTATATTTCTTTACATAGTAAAAAGTTTGCTTCAAGTTGTAAAAAAATTAAAAATTAAAAAAATAATATATATATATCATTGTAGTTAGTTTATATAGTATAAAGATGTATTAGCTTTTATTTAAAAAAAATAAGGGGACTGAGCCGCCGTGCACGGAGACATGAGGTCTCGTGCACGGAGACCTTGCAAGTAGACCAAGGTCTTCGTGCACAGAGAAGAGAAATGAATTTTTTTTACTTATGTTTTTGTTTTCATTTTCAGGCTCATTACGGGATATCAAACGAAATCGAAATATTACATTCTTAATATCATTTTGAAGTACTTGCGGCGTAGTATTGCACGTCGTTAACGGTGTGTAAAACGGTCAATCATAGCAAATGTTATGGGACATCAAAGTAGGCATTTTCAAACTATATTTTAAAATTTTTGATAACAAGCTAACTTAAAAATTCGTCGACGATTGTACGATAGTCGAATCGATAAATGTTTTACATTCTCTCGAAACTCATTTTGAGAACTATATCATAGAGATATCGAATGATCTAAATAAATATAAAAAATAATTAAACGGACATTAAACGTATGTGTTAAAAAATACGCATAAGTCGTTTTTCTTTAAAAAATCAATTATTTTATTACTATTTTGAAATTTTCGGTAACAAGCTAACTTTAAAAATTTATCGACGATTGTAGATAGTTGAATTGATAAATATTTTACATTATCTCGAAACTCATTTTGAGAACTATATCATAAAGACATCAAATGATCTAAATAAATATCAAAAATAGTTAAACGGAGATTAAACGTATGTGTTAACAAATGCGTTTTTTTCTTAAAAAAATCAATTATTTTTTTCTTTTTAATTCTTTTCTCTTCTAAATAAAACTTAATTTTTCAGTTTTAACGAAAAAGTTATTTATAGGTTAAAAAAA